CCAGGGATCAAACCCACGCGCCCAGCCCAGCCGGGTCCCTCCCTGAAGTTTGTAGCCCCCCCCCCCAACCCCCCCGGGCCTCATCCTCCCATCCTTTCCCCCCCCTCCCCGCTCATCCCACACGTCCCTTGTCCCCAAACCCCAGGTTGTCTCGCCGGTGGTGGCCCGGTGCCCGCGGCGTTGCCGGCAGCTTCATTTTCCTAACGAGGGTTTAATGAGGGTCATGATTCAGAGGGTCCCCTTTCCGCCAGGGACCCGTGAGGAGCGGCGAGGGGGGGCTGTCCCCATCCAGACCTTGGTGGCAAGTGCCACCATCATCTGGGCTTGGTGGCCAGTGGCCAAAGCTGCTGGTCCCCGCCATCGCCCACCGAGTCACTCCGTGCCACCTGCCACCCGGGCTATATTTACCCCGCAGCAGGCGGCGAGGATTTGGGATGAACCCATGGCACCGGGGCAGGACGAGCCTCAAAGGGGGGGTCACCATCACCGGAGCATCCTCCCACCTCCCCGGTGTGTCCCCCGTTCTCCCCGGCACCATCCCATGGGGGCAACCGGTTCCATTACACCCACGTCACCCCATCCCGCTCCAGCCGGGAGCCAAAAATAAGGTGGCCACCCAAACTGAGATGCCCACGGGGTACCATGGATGCACCCACATCAAAAATAAAGGGAAGGAGCAGGAGAGCATTTGCCACCCTGGGATTGGCACCGGGGGGCACGGGAGAAGCCGCCTCTTAGTCACGGCTGCAGGGATGGAGAGAGGAACCAAGCTGGGAAAACGAGAAGTCCCCCCACCCCCAACCTGCCCCCAAAAAAACCCACGCCAGGTCCCCAAAGGAAACCCCAAGGGGACCCACAATGGCCCCTTCGAGCGTGGGGTTCTCCAACGCTCAAACCCAAGAATTACAGATTGAAAAAAAAAAAAAGAAAAAGATTTAGAAAGAAAGAAAGAAAACATATTTTAAAAGGAAAAAAAAGGAGGAGGAGGAGGAGGAGGAGGAGGGTTTGACGTGTATTTTTAGTTGCTTAGCGCAGCCCTGAAATATTTGGGCAGCCACTCCCTCCGCGTCGCAGCGGCTGGTGTGTAACTATTCCTGTGCTGCCTCCCTGGCCGGGCACACCAGGCCTGAGTCACCGGCCCCTGGGGTAGCCAACGGCACCCGTGGCCACCAGGGCAACCCCCACCACCCTCAAATTGTCAGGGCAGGGAGGTTTGGGGGAGTGGGAAGCAGAAGGGAGGGTTTCCAGGGTGCCCTTTACCGGGAACCCCCA